ATGTCTAATGGAGTTGGAAGAGGAACAGTTTCAAAAAATCAAACTCCCTCTCACTTGAGGTACTCTTTGAGAAGAATGAGGCATTTTCAAAAAAGGAGACGTCGACAATAACATATATTTTATTAGTGGTAGGATTCAGACACCGGTATCCTTTTTAAGTGGAGGAATAACCAAGGAAGACACATTTGATTGAGAGGGGATCAAGTTTACTATAAGTTGGGTCTGTGTTCCGAACAAAGGCCGTGCACCCAAATATTTTGGGCTCTAACGTGGAGGAACAGCTGATAGGAAAACATGACATCAAGACGAATAATGGTGTCCAAAATTTGTGGATTTTTGTGAGAACTCTATTGATGAGGTAGTTGGAAGTGAGGATGTCATCATTCCAAAACCATTTGGGGACAATGGTTTGAAACATAATTAAAAGAGCAAATTCCAGTGCTTGGTATTAATTTCTTTGCCATGCGCTTGGTCTATGTTTAAGGCAAAGATGATCTCAACAAGCAGCACAAATTTGAAAAAATGAAGGATAAAATCATCCACTCTGCACTAATAGCAATATTTTTACCCAAATCCAAATTGTTGCTACTAAAGCAAAACAAAGTGAAGCCTAATAATTTTCCTTAATCGAATGTTCTTTCTCAAAATCAAGATGGGTATATAATTAATCATAGGAGCTTAATCCCATAAAAAAATTGAACAACATAAATCCTGAAATCTCCAAACAACATATTATCTGATATCTGATTCGAATTCTGAAAAAAACTTAACCCAAAATATCTCAAATGAATTTAACAAAGCTAGGTAGGGATTTTAAGAGCCCACGATGAACCCAACCAGTTCTACTATTTCACTCAAACAGGAGAACTGGAAACACAAATTACAACAAAACATTAGAAAATGAGTGCAGACCTCCTAACACTATGAAGCCTGTTAAGGTGGCAAATAAAACCATTGTTGATATTCTAGTTATCATGATAGGGCATATGGGATGAGATTCCTAGCCTGAACAATCAATGAATGGAAGAACAGGACATCTACCAAGACTATTAGTATTTACCTCAATTGAGGTGATTCTGGCTCTGTTCGGCGCAGAGTTTTACCTACAGAGCGGCACCACGCTGCAATTTTTTGTGTTTGGGGCGACGATTGAGCTGCAGTGGGACGCGAATTCGATCAAACGCGGAACGCGAACATTACCCCGCGGCCTGGCTTCTTCACCCGATGTTTTACCCTAATACCCAACCCGAACATTTATCGCTCGTGAAAAAGGCGAAATCCAGCAATCGAAGATCCCCTCTCCTCCTCGTCTTCGACGGCTTGCTGCTCCTCTTCGACGTATGTCCGGTTGCTTTTTACAGGGAAACGCTGACATCTCTGTTCATTGAAAAGGCGTTTACAGGTTGGTCGTTCCAGGATCAACAAGAACTTGGTGTTGAAAATGGAGACGAAGATGAGAGAGTTGGAAAAAAAACTGTGGAGAGCAAAGAACGGGATGTGAAGAGGCTGAAAATAGAGGGTTTTGATTTTAGTAATTAATTCTAAGTTTTTACATTTTTAGAGTTTGGGGGGCTTTATGCCATGGAGGGTCCTTGCTTCTTAGGAACAGGACTATTATGTGAATTTTGGCAGTGTATTTTTTTATGTGATTGAATGGCTAGGAGGAATGCTACTCAATTTTGTTATTTAATTATGCTAATTGAAAAAAGATTTTGATATTAAAGTTAGTTATATATATATATATATATATATTATAAACGCCCAAGGGCTAATTTTATTGAAATTGAAAAGATACATAGAGGTTGTATGAGAGGACCCAAAAAAGGTGTCCTACCCATACGATACATCAGACACTAGCATCCTAAAAAGATGAAACATAGATAAAACACAAAAAACAAAACTTGCAGGAAATAAGCTGTTAGGCACGAGCCAGCTTAGTCTTGCCACTGCCTCTGGTTCTAGGAGCGGAGACAGCTAACAAATTGCTGATTGTCGTTCAATTACCCGAAGTTACTAGAGTATCATCCATTAAGTTCCCTAGTTGGGGTGTGTCTCCATTCTTCTTTTTCTCTCTAGATGTGTATACCTGTCATTCCTCATCCGAGGACTGGCTCATCTAATTGGTGTGGTCAACAGATTGTTGTGCATGTGGGAGAGAATGAGACCCCAGCTCCTGACTAACAGTAACAACATTCTAATTCTGAAGAGATGATAAGCATGTCTCTTCAATACCTGATGCATTTTGGGATGTGGAGCTTTTCAATACTATCCTGATTATCGGACCCAAGTAAACCATCTGTCAATATATCAGTCGGAATATCAGTCGGAAGAACAAAGAACAGAGAGAGTATTGTCTCCGATAGTGGGAGGGGGAGGTGGCATCATGTCAACCAGTTTTCAATAGTCTGTGGAATGCACTCAGGAGTGGAGGAGGGACAAGTATGAGGTGAGGCAGATCCAGAAGTGTTTTTACTTGAATGTTTTAAATTCGAATGCAACTGATAACATTGAGAAGGAGAATGTCTAAACATACGGCAATGGGTACAATAAAGTGGTATCTGTTCAAGTTCTGTTTGCTGCCAAAATCTCTGATGTTGCGTGTCAATCCATATATCTCCCGGAAAAGGTAAAGTAATCTCTTTCTATCAAAATTCTAGCTTTTGAAGGCCGAGACAGATTCACTGTAGGCGTGTCAGCTTTGAGGGGTTTACCGTATATCATCGCTAAAGCGAAGAAAAACTCTTGATCAAAAAGGTGGATTTTCAATCCTAGGAAGCGCAGCCAAACAGGAATGGTAGGAGGTTCAGTACAAGGGTCAAAACCTCTGCCAAAATCTCTGATGTTGCGTGTCAATCCATATATCTCCCGGAAAAGGTAAAGTATATCTCTTTCTATCAAAATTCTAGTTTCTGAAGGCCAAGTCAGATTCACTGTAGGCGTGTCAGCTTTGAGGGATTTACCATATACCATCGCTAAAGCGAAGAGAAACTCTTGATAAAAAAGGTGGATCTTCAAACCTGGGAAGCGCAGCCAAACAGGAATGGTAGGAGGTTCAGTACGAGGGTCAAAATCCACCGTCCATTTTAAAACCTTCATCACCTGGTTTTATATTCGAAGAACTCTTCTCGCAAACAAATGGGTATAGTCTTCGTCATTTGATAATTGAATAAGAATGTGGCGACCATCCAATTTACCGATCTTTCAACCCCCTTTCAGCTTCATTTGTTCAAAGTTCTTTCGAATTAGCTCATGTTTAAGGTTTTCATAAAGAAACTTACCAACTAAGAACAGTTGGCAGGGCGCAGCTAGGTTAGAGATCTCTGCCTCAGTGAGAAATATTGCAGGTTCACACGCGCACACACACACACACACACACACACACACACTTGTAATATTATTCATGTGTAAAATTACCATTGTTTTTGCTTGTTCAATTGGAAACTTCAAAAAAGATTGGTTCATTAAAATTTAATTAGCATGAATATTGAAATTTGGGATACTACAAAATAATCTCTTGATAATAAATTCACCATTATTTTGAATATATTTGTGAACTTCAAAATAAATTCATCATTATTTTAAATTTATGCTTCTGAATTATTAAATAAGTGGGTGTCACAGTTCTGTTACAAACAAATTTACTGAAGATGGACAGAATGGTCAATTTTTCAAAAACAGCTGTCCCACAGCTGTTTTCACACAGCTGCAACAAACAGACAGTCAGCTTCCCCGCAGCAGCTTCCTGGGGTAGCGGAGCTGCAACTGGAAAGCTGAGAAGCTGCAGCTGCGCCAAACAGAGCCTTTATTTAGTATCTATCAACCACTTCATCTCTTTATCTATTTAGAAAATGTTCCAGCATATCACTATAAGCAGGGCTACAATATAATTTCTAGTAGGACTGGCCTCAACTTGTTGCCCTGATCGACTGCCATATTGACCTGAGGATGCAGATTGCCCAATGATCTTAAATTGACTGATTGAAAGAATTCTAAGTTGTCAATAATCTGTAACTAAAATCCAGTATTAAGTACTCTAAGAGTTTATGCACAAGTTCTCTTATTTGAAAATGAACCACAGTTGAAAGGTGGGAATCATTCACCTGAAGAAACTAAAAAGAAAAATCTGAAATCATTGTCAAAGTTCTGAGCATGAAGATCGGTTGCTACAAAAAATATTATCCCCGCATCATACCCAAGTTTACTGTTCCTCCATGTCTCAAAAAAAATACCTTTTCAGGTAAGATTCAGACAATGGATGACCAAGTTTAACAGTTCTAACTGCTCCATCCTTTGATACAGCATACAAAGTATCTTGTACAAAAATAGAAGTGCAATGTCGATAGCTCAATACAATCCATTAGCTAGAAGACGAAACTATGTCAATAAGTTCCGGAAACAACAAGACTCCAGTGAGCACACTATTGCAGTGGCAAAAGATTAATATAGCCAGATTGCACCGACAATTTACTGAATATAAAACATCAAACTGTGTAAGCAGAAGCAAAAACACCAAAATTGAATATGTCCAATCAGCTAACTTTGAGTTGAAAAGAAAATCTGCATGTCAAATCAGTGCAAAAATTGATTTGTGCTGAAAATATCTATCTGAAAATGAGGAGGAACTAAAAATATATGACATCACGTAACATAGAAACGGGATCATGTAGCTGCATAGATAACCAACTACAACAGAGGGGAGCATTGCAACCGATGAATTAATTTTCAAGAAAAACAAGGGAAGAAAAAAAATTGTTTCATGCACAGAATTAGCAAAAGCAACGTATTACTAGAAAAATAAAACGAGATGCAATGTGATCCATAGAATCAGTCAAAATCAAGAAATTGCCTGTAAATATCAATGATTAGTTCTTAAAAATCCACCATGTGAAGAAAATTTGTTATTAGAGTTAAATTGCTAGTGCAGTAAACTCAGAAAGCACACATGCACAGTAAGAAAAAGTAGATCAGGTGCTCTTATGATATAATTAAGATTACGCAACCTTTCACTACTTCTACATGCTTGCTCTTGTATGCGTTGAAGAGTGCCAAAGAGATATTCGCAGTAGCATCCTTAGCTGGTAAATTCAATAGTCCATCGAGAGGGATTGAAATACGAGGAAGTCCTTTTGACTTGCGAGTTATTAACTTGGCATGTGCAACACCTGAAAAATTAGAGAAACAAATTAAAAAGGTGCTTCCAAGGAAAAAAAAAAAAACACTTCTCTCCAAAAAACTTTAAGCAAAATAAACAGGGACCTGGTAAATGTGCCTGCAAGCAGGAGACCCAATGCTTTTAAAAATGAGCTTCACGAGCAAAAGCAAAGCACATAACACTCGCTTCATTTTGTTGAGTGTGCTTCGAAAATCCGAAGTTAATTTGCAATTTTTTTTGCAATTTTTAGGTTTTTAATTATTGCAGCAAATTATTGTAAATTGTTCAAATTTTTATTTGCAAGTTTACCATCGATACTTACCTTAAAATAATATATTGCACAACATTTTTTTATATTTTACATCAACTTTAAAGGCATACTGTATATTTTATAATTGTTAATGAGTGCATTTATTCAATAATAGCTTTATATAACTGATACCAAAACTAGTAGGAATTTCAACGGAAGACACAAAGCAAACTTTTATTAAATACTGAGTTGGGGTTACAACACGACACAAACGGAAAGTGAAAACACAATAACAAACCAAGGTTCGGCTAGGACCGGAAGGAAAGATCTGAGGACGGAGAGGCACTAGCAACATGGTCAGGGTAGGGGAAGGCTTGGTAGCTGCGAGGTCATTAGGAAGGGGTTTGGTAGCTGGTAGATAGGTTGCACGGGGAAAGGATTGTCGGGGCTGATAAGTAATATGGAGGGTTGGGACAATAGCACTGTCTGATGTGGAGGAAGGGGCTGGAGTAATGGACAGAAGTTAGGAATGCTGAGAAAGGGGTTCGGCAAGCTGGGAAGTGACCAAGACAACAGAGAAAGCTGTATTAGAAGAGTGCAAGGTGTCGGGGAATGGTGGCAAGACTGGACAACAATGTTAATGTAGAAGGGAGCGGCGGCAAGGTGGTAGGAATAAGTGGAGAAGCTAGATAGGGGAAAGGCGGGCGCAGGGGCGGCTGAGCGAGGAGTAAGGGTTTGGGGCGGTCGGCGGCTGAGGGAAAGGGAGGAGAAGGTTTAGGGAAGAAGATTGAGTAAGATACAAAACCACCTTAGAGTAGGATACAGTTAAAGCATCACCACCTCCTCGAATACATCATTAGAACAAGGAAAATTCTTCACAAAGAAAATCTGAAAGTAGAACACATCAAAAACTAACCCTAAACTATCAAAGTAGCAAATAAATAGCTCCTACACAAAGAAGAAGCCAAAAAGAAAAGAGAGAGGCGGGGAGTCCCGCCCCGTCAAAATCCTGCCCTAGGCCACTCGGCCTAGGTGGTTAAACCTGGACAGGCCCTCAATTGGACCAGTCGGGTTCAGTAGTGAGAAATCCCACCGCAGGAAGCCGCGCCAGTACGGGAAATCTTGCGTTGCGCATCAATACGAGAAGCCCCGTGTCAATCTCCCAAGGTTGGGAGAGCTTCGACTTCATTTGTCAAAGCTTCAGGCTCCTCGTAGCACTGTGTCAGGTCAGGTCGGCGACGTTGAGCGTGACTGAGACATTGTAATCCACTGGCAGGTCAGTAAAATAGATATTCGTGCACATTAATGTCATGAGCTGGTACTATAGGTAGACGAGTATTCTTACAGCCCATGTATCAAGTCATTCCAGAGGTAGCCTGCTTCTTCCACTCCTCGTAATCGGCTAAGTGCAACTGAGGAAATTGTATGGGAAGAGAAATTAATTATGGGATGAAATTTGTGGCAGGCTGCACCCATCTCACTAGTACCCCCAAAAGAGAAGCCTCTTCTTCATTGATAGGACCTAGATTTCATTGACAAATTTTCGTCCCAATCAAGCTCCTCGGACCCATTACAAAGCCAGTGTTCACCTCTCCTATCTGGACATCTGGCAATGGGTACCATGTTGGACTGAAAATAACCTCGAAATAACCCTACGTAATATTCTCGACATGGTACAAAATGAACCCACTTCTGGTATGCTGGACCTCTCTCTGTAGGGTAACTCAGGAAGGGGTTTATACATTCGAAAAAGTTGCAATTCTCTTATCTGTGGTGGTCCTATATATGTGGTCAGCTTCTCAAACTCATGCCCCTTTTGAAGCTCCCAAATCAGTTCTGCTAATGTTCCTCTCAACACATGTGAAACGGTAGCACAAGGTACCACAGTTTCATAATCTGCCTGAACGCCCGTTACATCAAGATCACAACCTTCCAGAACGGCTACTATTACCTCTGCTGAAATCTCTATCTCCGAGACAACTAATAGGTTGTCTCTTCCTGATTGGCTAGCAATTGAGGATCCTAATTGAAGTCTGCATCTTTTCTTCAAATCATTGTATATTTCTTCAAATGGAAGTTGGTCCTCCTTTATGTCCTCCCCATTGTCAAGAGTTAACTATGTGACACGGCGTTCGGGAGAGGACCGACCAGTCTTCAAGGGAGGCAAGTTGCTGCCCCCTCCCTCCTCTTCCCTCTTTCCTTTTTGCCCTCTTTTCCTTTTCTCACATTTCATTTCTCTCCCCCTCATCTTTCCCTCCGAAGCACTTTCTAAATTTAAATCATTTTCTTAAATTTTAAGATCTGATTTTATTCTCTTTTTTTTATATTACAAACTCTTTTCCTGAAATATGAAATCTGATTTTTATTCTCTTTTCGATTTAAAAAAAAAATTCCTAAAATCTAAAATCTTATTTTTATTCTCTTTATTTTAAATGTTTTCTAAGATAGGTCATTTCTCTTTATAAATAGGAGAGGTTGTGCTTAGAGTTAGGGGATGGTTTTTATGAAATATGAGTTCAGTTTTATTTGAGTGTTTTCCCTCTTTAGGATTGTATTTGATGTCAAGGTAGTACTCCGGCTGTCCCCTGTCCGAGGAGCGTCTCCACGGGAACCGGGTGGTACTCCAGTTTTAGCTCGACCACCAAGATGATTATCTCTCTATCCATCCTCCCTGCAGCTCCTACAATGGACCCCCACTGCTTTTGCATCACCCCACACCCGTCGGCAGCCTTCCAACCCGCCACTATTTGTCGGACTTCCTCCCTATAGCTCCCTGCGGGCTGTAGCCCCGATGCACCTCTCCCGCAGCAGCAGCAGCCTTCCGGCCACCTCTACCTACTCATCTCCCACCTCCAGCAGACCGAGCCTCCTCCATGCTGCTTCCTGCAGACTGCATCCCCCACTGCCCCTCTCCCGCATCAACAACAGCCTTCCAGACACCTCTACCAGCTGCTCATCTCCCTCATCTAGCAGGTCGCAACCACCATTGCCCTTCCAAGCTCCCTCCAACCGCGGTTCGACGCCAGAACCATCGTAGATTTGCTACCCTTCCCTTCCGCAGCAGCAAGTCACCACTCCAGCCTTCACCGAAGCCACCTACCTTGCACCACCACCGCCTGGACTCCCTCCTCGTCAAGCTTGTTGTGTCTTCTTTTGTTGAGTCTTTATTTGTAATCATTTGTTTTATGTTTTCGTTCTGTATATTGTCCTTCTTTGAGTCTTCACTGTAACATTTATTTAAGTCATTAATAAAATTGTATCTTGCATTATGGTTTAAATAAACTTTGGTATCATTTGGTATCAGAGCTAGCACAACCCTAGTCTCATCCTAGGGCTTCTAGCATCCTCTCCTCTATCTATCACACCAATTTTTTTCCCTTCTCGTTTATTTTTTCTCTTCTTTCTTTTTTCCTTCTTTTCTTTCCTTCCACAGATCTCAAAGAGTTAAACATGCCGCCAAGGAGAATTATGCCTAAGGCTACTCGAAAAGAGATACGGCGAGAAGTTCGTCGCCTCTAACAAAGAATTGTAGAGATTGAAGAAATGACACAGGAATAAGCTACCTTCAACCAAGACCTGGAGAGTCGAAAGCGAGAGAGAAGAGGAACTGAATCCCTTCCATAGAGATATTTAAGCAAAGAAGAAGATAGGCTACCGCGCTTTGGATCCAATATCAAAAGAGACCGAAAAAGGGATACCTACGTCCCTTCCATAGGGAAACTTTCTGAGAAGAGATGTCCTTTAGAGGGAACCAAGACCACGGGATCAAGGTATATTTTCCCAAGCTTGAGGGGAACATGGATTTAGATGAATTTATTGAATGACTACAGGCAATTGAGCGGATCTTCGAATATAAAGAGGTAGTCGAAGAGCGGAGGGTCAAATTAGCTCTATCAAATTAAAGAAGAGTGTCTCCCTATGGTGGGAGAACGTAAAGAGACAGAGGAGGCGAGAAGGCAATGAAAAGATTAGCAAATGAGAGAAGATGAAGAAAACCGTGCAGAAGAAATATCTTCCCCCATAACCGCCAAGACATGTTTTTGAAACTCCACAATCTACAGCAAAGAGACCTTTCAGTGGAGGAGTTCACAGCTCAGTTCGACCACTTATAGCTGAAGTGCGACCTGACAAAGCCAGAGAAGAATACAGTAGTCAGATACCTTGAGGGCTTGAAGTCTCATATTAGCAATGTGGTACAGCTACAACCATACTGGACGTTGAGGGATGTCCAGACACTAGCATTGAAAGAGGAAAGGCAGCAGAAGTAGAGCCGACAAACACCACTAACCAGGAAGCCACCCACAGTTAGAGACATTGATAGCAGCATGACGCAGAAGATTGAGAAAATTTGTTCGGATACGGATAAAGCCACCCCCAGTGAAAAGAAGTTGACTACTGTGCCCACCAGAAAATGTTTCTGATGCCACAGAATTGCTACCAGCTACCCAAAGAGCAGAGTTGTATCTTTTACCGAGCAGGGTGTCGTGGAGGAGGTTAGCGAGGAGCAGGAAGCTAAGAAACAAGGAGAAGAGCATTAGCTTCCACCAGATGAGGGAGAAGCACTTGTGATTCAACAGATTCTACAGGCTGAGGACACAAGGGACCAGCAGTGGCTTCGTCATAGCATTTTCCACACCTGTTGCACAGTGAATGGAAAGGTATGTAGTCTTATTGATGAGAGTAGCAACAAGAATGTGGCATCGACCCAGATGGTAGAGAAACTGAGACTCATGACTCAAAGGTACTTCCAATCATATTCA